AATTCATTTTTGAAAGACAGAGACAGAGCACTAGTGGGGGAAAGGCAGAGAGAGAGGGAGACACAGAATCTGAAGCAGGCTCCAGGCTCTGAGTTGTCAGCACAGAGCCTGACACAGGGCTGGATCCCACAAACTGTGAGATCATGACCTGAGCACTTAACGAACTGAGCCACCCAGGCACCCCTTTAGTTAGCTATTTCTATGCATGATATCTCTGTCTTTTTTGTAGTCATTTCTTTATCTTTTTCCCCCTCCTACTCAACTGGACCTTTGTGTGTGTGTGTGTGTGGTTACCTTTAAGTTTTAATGCTGATACCTCATTTAAGTATAAAGCTAATGAATATTCTTACCCTTCTCCCAAATAATATAAGAGCTTTAGAACACTCTATAACCCATCTAACCAACCTTTTGCATATTCTAGATGTGCAGTGTTTTCAGTCACTTTATCTCCAAATTGATTATTAATATTATATTATCATATTTTATACATTATTGATATTACTATATTATCCTATTGTCTTATATAGTTAGTGATATTTTTTAGATTTACCTATATGAATCAGTTTCTTTACTTACCATTCTTTCTTTACATCCCTTTCTTTCTGAATTCAGTTTACTGCTACCTAAATTGTATCTTTTAGATTTCCCTCAGTAAAGGATGTAATAGAAACTAATGATTTTTTGTCTGAAAACATCTCTTTTAACCTTCATTAGTAAATTAGTGTATAGACAGGTAAAACCTGCTGTAATAGGTATTTTCACTTAACACAGTTGAGTTATGATTCTTCTATTCTACATCTTCTACTATTCTTGTTGAAAAGTTTGCTGTAAACCTAATCTGCTCCTCTTTAAATACCTATTTTGTCTTCTAGCTATTTTTTAATTTATGTTTGTTTGTGAGGGAGATTTATTGGATTTATCTTGAGATTCATTTAACTTCCTGAAGAAATAGGTAAATAGGTAGATTTATATAAATAGATTTATACAGACATACAGATACTTTTCAAAAGTTATATATATTAATATCACAACTCTTGAACATTTTTCATATATTACTTTTTAAGGTTCCTTATGCTTGTTGTCTTTCTGGCTCTTATTAGACACATGTTGGACCATCTCACCCATTTTTTTGTGTCTCACATGCTCTTTCTTATCACTTTTACTTCCTCATTGTTTCTCTGGTAATGTTATGGACAATTTATTCAGCTCTTCATGTTAATTATATCTTAGCTATATTTAATATATCTGTTTATTAATTTTAATGATTATATTATTATTTGTAAAATTATAATTGCCACTCATGGAAAATGCTCTTGTTCTTTTGCTAATATCTTGTTTATTTCATATATTTTCTCCCCATCTTTCATTTTTAATTATTTTAAGTATTTTCTAATCTATGTTTAGTAATCTCATTATCAGAATGTTTTGGTGTCTCTAATATTGCTCTTTGATCTTTCAGTTGAATTTCATTCAAGATTTACTCATTATTTGATAATTATAGATTTGAACTCCTGCTTAGCTTGGCTTTATATTCATAATTCCTAAATCCTTTCTTGGGCGTGTGCCCTTCCAAAGAATTTTGGAGACTGAATCCACAAGGTACCAATCCAGAAATACTTTTTTTTTTTTTTTTTTTGTTAAATCCTCTCTGTGGAGTTTCTCTGTTCTTGTTAGTAGTATCAATTCAACCACCATACCTGTGTAAAAGATTTTCATGAGAGATTTTTCAATCTCTTGTCCTTGAAATCCCAAGACTCTTGACAGAGATTCAAAAATGTCTCAGACAACCAAAAGATCAGTGACTCCTTATCAATCATTTCCACATTTTCTTCTTCAGTTCGGCCTCTGAAGATTTCCTTAAAGTATTTCTCTGAGTTTTGTATTTCAAGTAATATTTGTTATACTTTACCTAGTTTTCTATAAATTTTGATAAGATTCTTTGTTTTTGGTTTATAATATTTGATGTATATATTTGACGGAAATAGAGCTACTTTAATTTCATTTTTATTTTGGTTCTGTAAAATAAAGAACTTGTAACTAATTATGAGTGAAGCAAGAGTCATTTGTATTTCAAGAGTAAAAAAGTAAGACCAAATATGTATCCTTTCTCTTTACACACACACACAGACTATTCTGGACTTTGGCTGAGGAGCTGTTTATGGAATATAGGTCATGAGGCTTAGTCATCCCAATTCCCTTTCATTCTCAGTTTCTTTTCCTGTTATCACTGATCTGCCATTTCAGCTCAAGTCATGGACTTGTTCACAACTAATATGAGAAATGAGGACTGGAATTTTTGTATGAAGAAAAGGAAATGCCAAAAGAAAGATATCCGATAAAATTAGAAAAGAAGAGAATCACTCTGACCACTTATGCATATATCTATATATCTGCATGTATGTGTGTTTGCTTGTCAGAGAAATAGATACATATATGTATGTATTATATATCCATGTATGTATTTCAGTGATATTATTGGAACTCAAGATTTCATAGCTAAAATAATTTTCTATGCCCAGAGTGTGTACCTATTTGCATTTGTTTTCATAATTATTTCTATAATTGGTTCTACAAGTAAATGCAGAAATAGCTGGCTTATTCCTACCACCTGCTTGGTAGAGATATACAGAGAAGGCAATAATACATATTTAATTTATTCTTATTTTTCCCACAAATCATACAATCACAATATTGGAATGATATTCCACTTAGTATTCTGTTCCTACATTCAAACAGCCGGGTTCTTTAATAGAAAATAGATGCTCTTTATGAGAATTAAATGGTCAAATATAGAGAGGTAGATGACTAATTGTAAGTGCTATTTGAATAAATTTGCATATGAAAGGACCTCTAAAAACTTCTTTTAAGAAAAAGAATTTTGTAGGTGCATGTGTTATCCATAAATCATTTTATTTAGGATGATTCCTTTCCCATAATCATGCCAATATCTCTGGAATCAAAACAAAAGTTCCAAAGTTTTTTGATAAGATCTTTTTCATGTCTCTCAATCAATTGGTTATCTACTTAGTAAGTTATCTGTTTTATGTGGAACAGAACCATATCTGTTTTATATGGTACATTCTTAGGACCTGATCAAAATGCAGAAGAAAAAACATAATGGAAAATATATTTAGAAATGAAAAGAAAAAAAAAGAGAGAAAGGGGAAAAGGGAGAAAGAAGGAAATTTGGATCAACAAGCATAGTGAATTTGATAGATGAACATGTAAATTAAGAAACATTGCTATTGTTTTAAATATTCATATAAATCTTTAAGTCAATTATTTAAAATTTTGTTATTCAAGAATTATTTTTCTTGATATTTAACATATTACATGAAAACAAAAAGCACTTAATAATATGGATGAAGAGATAGCTAATTCATAATCATCTGGGGAAAAATTGATATGAATAATTGAACAGAATTGTTTAACTTTTTGAAACCTGAAGTAATTGTGGGCCCGGAAGGAGAATGAAGGATAAGACATTGTGTAAGTGTGTAATGCACTTGCATACTTTATATGAGCAGATTCTGCTCTCACATAGTTAACCTGGTCAAGTGTACAAAATTACAAACAAGGCAATGTTATCATTTTATTCTCTATAAAATATAGATTCCCTTTTCTAAGATGATGCTACTAATTTCAGTCTTGTTGATGGGGTGATCATTTAATGGCTCCAGGCAATTCTGTCACTGTTCCTCAAAACACTAATTTCAAACATATGCTGTGCTAATAGAGGGCCAGAAAGTATTATCACCTTTCCACAAAATTCAAGCCTGCAAAAAAAAAAAAAAAAAAGGTTTTTTAAACAATACAAAAAATATCTTAAAGAACTTGCTTAAAAAGCCATTTATTAATAGAAGAAATTTTCTTTAATTTCATTCTTTAATTTTATTTTTTCATGAGACTAAAGGTTTCATTTGTAATGGAGATTACTATTTCTTTAAAATGCAAGTGTTATTACCAGAAACAGGTGCAATGCAATAATACTTTTAAAGGATAACAGATGAACATGAAAAAAATGTACACAACATGTTACCTCTATATTAAATAAATTGTTCCATTTATCTTATGAATAATCTTCTGGATATCTCCCATGTCAAAGACATAACAGGGAGTCTTCTGGGTAGGCAAAAATGAGCAGGATCAAGGCATAAACAACCATCTATAATACAAGAGACAATCTGTTGAGTACTATAGTAGAGGTACAAAATATGTTGGAAATATATAGAAAAAGAAGAGTAATTCCTTCACTGGGTGTCAAGACAAGCTTCATTGAGATGTTAGCTGAGGTGGCCCTGAAAAAAATGGGTAGAAAGAATATGGAGGTGGAGAGAAAGTGGTGAACCAAAATATTGTTTAAAAAAAAAACATGTGTTTAAGACATAACCTGAGTACAGGGCACAGGGGAAAATAGTAGGAGATAAACTTGAGAGGTAGAATTAGGACTCACGAGAGAATTAGGGGCAGAGTCTTAGAATGGTAGAACAGGAGCAGCTGACTGAAGCCGCTGAACACTCTGCTAAATATTTCAGCTTTTCTTGTACAAACAACAGAGTGGATTTTTTTTATCCCAGCATGGTGATTTATATGGCATCATCAGAGCTGTGTATTAGGATAAGATTTCATGATTATGTTCATGCCAGGACAAGGACTGTATTATACAGGATTCTCTGTACTTTTAAACTTGAACATCAGAATAAAATATGGTTGCAAAACATACATTTGCATATACAAAAAATTTTCAAAAAAATTTCAAAAAAATTTCAAGCATATACAAAAAAATTTCAAAGACAACCAGCTATCTAATTTGGATCTAAAGTGGTGAGGATGAAACACTTTCATATGAAATAATTAAATAATTGAGATCAGATTATGTATCTTTATAGCTTATTTAATTTTGCTTCTGTAGATAAATGCACAATATGTGTTTGAAGATGATTTAAAAGTCTTCAGTAGTTTTTATATTGCAATATCAAAATATATTTTTGTTGTTTCAGATGATGGTGCCTGTCAATTAACTGAACAACACTGGTAAGTTGGTTTTTCTCTTCTCAAATCTGTGTAGAATGTTTTTCTTTCTGATATTCAAAAGGATCTATGTTGCCTATGAAATCTGCAAAAACATGAACACTTACATAGACTGAAAGTCAAGCATGCCCTGAGGTCAGCTATATTTTTTTCCAGGGATTTAACCTCTCCCTTTTTACTTCTGAACTAAGCCAAGACTGGAAATCAGAAAGTATCCTGTACATGTTCACCAGGAGTATAGGAGGGGCATTATTGTCCAAACGTTTTCCATTAAATGTGTACCATATGTTTGCCCAGGGATGACTCTGAGAAAACACCCAAATATTCATACCACCAAAGGCCATATATATATATATATATATATATATATATGCAGATGGTCATGATGTACACACAGACTGATTGTCATTTTTCCAGTCTCATAACTGACTAAATATGACTTTGTTTTAGTTGAATCAGCATACTGGACAGCAGAAATCAAAGGACAGTTTTCTGTTTTTGTTAGGAACATGCTTGTTCGTGACTCCTTTTGTGGACTTCTATTGGGTAACATTTTACGTTGGGGAGTGAAACAGGTATTAAATGTTGTGGGAAGTAATATTAATGATCGTAATGAAATATCTGCTGCAATAGTATGCTCTCAAAAGGGAAAAAGAAAGAAAGAAAGAAAGCAACAAAAAACTGGTTCTTGCCAGCTCCCAGTTCTGCTTTCCCCTTTAATTAACTGATTATTTCAGGGTAAACTGTGAAGGGTCAGAAAAAGTCAATCTGGTTTAGTTAAATAATTTTCAAGTGTATGAGATAAAATTTTACAGAAAATAAATGTATTTTTTTAATAGTACAGTCTATGCAAAGGCTATCCTATCATCACCTTGCAATAGTCAAAATATAAAAATCAATAGTGGTTAGGGGGGTTAGAGAGATCTAAACATAACATAAGTAAATATCATTATTGGTGTCCTTGAAAGTACTTGACTTTTGCCTTCAAAATATAGTAGGTTGTCATTGTTTTTGTATCATGTTACCATTGACATTAATCAGTGTTATCCAGTCTAATTGTTAAGCTTATTCAGATTTCAAGGAGATTATCAGGAAGGCAGGATAGAAGTCTGACTAGGTTGGATGAGTCAGTAACAGTATATAATGAAGCTAAGAGGCCTTAGTTGTCCAGTCTTAGAAGGAAATGTGAAGGCTTTTCTGGAAGCTGTATTCCCCTAGGAGGCTGGAGAAGACCATGGAAGTAGAAATTCTAAAATCAGTCTGAAGCTTTCTGCTCAAACTTTTCCTCTAAATGAGTGTTTCTTCACCCAAATGGCATGTCAGAATCACCTGGGGTATTGAAAAAAAATTACTTAATACCTGGGCCCCACCCAGACCAGTTAATTCAGTCTCTCTGGGTGGAGCTTAGCATGATGCTCCAGCTTGCTGGTGAGTCCAGGAGCAACTGGAGTTGAGAAGCAGTGTCATATATTAGGGCTTGACATTTTTTGGCAAATTCCCAAGTGATATTGATTTTACTGCTCCATGGACTACAGTTTAGGTAATAGAGGCCTACCCGCCCCCATAAGTTTTTCCACATGTCCCAGGAGGGTCAGTATTACTTGGGAGTAGTTACCTTTTTTTCCAAAGATGAGGGGAGTGAAGGAAAGGGTAGAAAGGAGAAAAAGGACATCCAAAAATGGCACATCGTGTAGATTTGTGTAGAATATTCAGTTCCCCACATGATTGAATTTGAAAGGCAATGGAAAAATTCCTGCATTCCAAAATATCTAATCTCATGAAATAATATGATGCCTGAATTTGCAGTATTATAATTCATTTCATTTTACTGCTTTTTAAACTGAATGTACAAATACTATTCTTTGGTACAATTGTTACAAATATAGAGGATCAAGAAAGAGGGGCAGAATTGGCAGGAATCTGAATTTTAATAATCATTCCAGGTGATGTAATCAAGAATGAAGCTTAGAAATTAACATTGTCAAAATGTCCATACTACCCAGAGCAGTCGATAGATTCAATATAATCCCTGTTAAAATGCCAACAGCATTTTTCACAGAACTGGAACAAATAATTCTAAAATTTGTATGGAACAAAATACCACAAAAGCCAAAGCAATCTTTAGATAAAATCAAAAAGCTAGTGTTTTCACAATTCCAGGTTTCAAGATATACTACAAAGCTGGAGTAAGTAATCAAAATAGTATGGTACTGGCACAAAAATAGACACACAAATCAGTGGAACAGAATAGAGAGCCCAGAGTGGGGTTTACCCACACTCATATGGTCAGTCTATGACAAATGAGGCAAGAATATGCAAAGGAAAAAAGTCTCTTTAATAAATGGTGCTGGGAAAACTGGACAGCTACATACAAAAGAATGAAACTGGACCACTTTCTTATACCATACACAAAATTAAACTCAAAATGAATTAAAGACTAAATGTGAGAACTGAAACTAACAATCTTAGAAGAGAACATAGGCATTAATTTCTCTGACATCAACCTTAGCAATATGTTTCTAGATATGTCTCCAAAGGCAAGGAAAACAAAAGTAAACATAAACAATTCAAACTATATCAAAATAAAAAGCTTTTGCACAGTGAAGGAAAGCATCAACAAAATAAAGACAACCTGATGAATAAGAAAATGTATTTGCAAATGATATACCCAATAGAGAGTTAATATTCAAGATATATAAAGAAGTGATGCAGACCAACACCAATAAACAAATAAATTCATAAATACATAAGTAAAATATGATTAAAAATGTACCTAAACAGCCATTTTTTTTCTAAGGAGACTTCACAGATGGCCAATAGACACATAAAAAGATACTCAACATCACTAATCATCAGGGGAATGCAAATCAAAACTATAATGAGATATCATCTCACACCTGTCACAAGGACTAAAATCAAGAAAACAAAAAATAACAAGCATTGGTGAGGATGTGGAGAAAAAGGAATCCTTCTACACTATTGGGGGGAATATAAATTGGTGCAGTCACTGTGGAAAACAATATGAAGTTTCCTCAAAATGATAAAAACAGAAATACAATGTAATCCAATAATTCCACTACTGGGTATTAACCTAAAGAAAACAAACAAACAAACAAACAAAATACTAAGTTGAAAAGATATATGCACCCCTACATTTATTGCAGCATTATTTACAATAGCCACAATGTGGAAGCAACCTAAGTGTCCATTGATAGACAAAGAGATGGGGAGATTTGGTGTATGTGTGTATGTAAGTGTACATGTGCATGTATATATGCACACACACATGTATACATACATAATGGAATATTGCAGAGCCATGGAAAAGGGTGATATCTTGCCACTTGGGACAATATAGATGGACCTAGAGGGTATCATGGTAATAATTCAGACTGAGAAAGACAAATACCTTATGATTTTACTCCTATGTGGAATCTAAAAAACAAAACAAAGGAATAAACGAAAAAAGCAGAACCAGACCTATAAATTCAGAGAACAAGCTAATGGTTTCCAGAAGAAAGGGAGGTGGGGATAGGCAAAATGGGTGAAGGGGAGTGGAAGATACAGGTGTCCAGTTCTGGAATAAATAAGTCATGGAAATAAAAGGCACAGCATAGTCATTGACTATAGTCAATGATTTTGTAAGAGCATTGTCTGATGACAAATGGTAGCAACACTTGTGGTGAGCATGGGCTCAAAAGCCAAAAAGTTTGAATTTGAGTCCCAGAGCATAACTATAGAGAAGTTGAATCACTATCTTCTACACCTGAAACTAATGTAAAATTGTGTGTCAACTATACTCATATAAAAAATATTTTAAGCAAGAATGGAGCTTAGAAGCCATTGTTTTAGACTATACACTACTTTTTTTCCTGGCCTTCTTGTAATATATGACATATACCTCTTCTTTAATATTTTATATATACAATTCCATATGTTAATAGAGGTCCAATATAACAGCAAAATAATAATAATAGTTAAGTTATATGGTGCTTACTGTTTTGTTAGGCACTATTCTGAGTGCTTCATATTCTTTAAAACAATCCCAGATAATGTATACTTTTGCTATTATTGTCTTTACATGTAGGGAAACTGGGAAACAGAATGTTAAATTGCCTAAACTCACATAGCTAATAAGTGGTAGAACTGGGATTCAAACTCAAACTTTTTGGCTTTTGAGCCCATGCTCTACTAAACTACCAACTGTGAATTAATACACATATTCAACAAATGTTTCTGGAGCAGCTTCTATACAGCAAGTGCTAGGAATGGATCAGTAAGCACAACAAAATATGTGCCTTTATGAAGATTCCTATCTCATGGGAGACATAGGCTCTTATTTTTAGAAGAGCCAGAATTTTATAAAAGAACTTAGAATTCATGGCAATAAGACATGAGCTTCAAATGTGATCATTCCATTTGCTTTCTGAGTGACCTTAGCAAATCGCTTTATCTCTTTAGTAATCCAATGAAATAATATGAAAGGATATCTAAATGAGTTATTTTCATTACTTACATCATAATTGACTATAATAAAAAATGTTTTGTGTGTGTGTTTGACTTAAAAAATGTCTTAGTTGAAAGAGATTTATTTCCCCATTGCAATAGACAGAAAGAGCATCATGAAAACACCACTTATCAGGAAGGTGTTGGGGGGCAGTTTTAGTGGTGTTAGTAGGGGGGATGATTGTCATAATTATGGCAATGTTTGAGATGATGAAATTGATGGTAAAAACTACCACTCATTATGCACTTACTGTAGCTCAGATGTTATGCACTAAACTTCTTATATTATCATTTTATTTAATCCATTTCACAATCCTATGAAGTAGTACAGTTATTGCCCATAATATAGAGCTGGCAAATAAGGGATTAGAAAGTTTAAATATCTCACCCACGTCACATAACTAAATAAGTAATGGATTCATGCATCAATTATCTCTTATTATGTAATAAACTTCCCTAAATCTCATTGATGTAAAATAGCCATTTGTTATTCCTCATGATTGTTACAGGGGGCAGCTATTCTACTTTCCCTGTTTTCTGGGGCCACTTATGTGACTACATTCAACTAGGGTATTAATGAAGTTCACAGTTTTCCAAGTGGCCTCTCTTACTACATGATAAATAATCTGCCAGAGGCCCTCCACATAATCTTTCTCTCTAGCAGAATAAGTTAGACTTGCACATAACATGCAGCTTATTTCCAAGGAGTGTTCCAAAGGACAAGCCGCACTACAAGTGCCTCACCTAGCAACATACTTGCTAAAGTCCCATTGGTCAAAATAAACCACATGGTCAAGCCCAGACTCAATGTAGGAAGGAACCAAACAAAGACAAAAATACCTAGAGGCATGGTTCGGTCTCCTATACCAGGTATGGCTAACCCCAAGAGTCGTCGTGCTTTTAATTACTACAGTATATTCCTTCCCTGGAGATATTAAAAGTAACACTGGAAGGAAACATACCACATAGTGTTGTTTAAGAGACATCATAGGCCGACTTGACCTGACCTTATTCCAACAATGATGAGTACATCTAAGTACTCAAGAGGAAATTTATTATAGAAGATTCAATACTGAGGTTCTTTTGAAGCTTCGTAGTTCAAGAATTCAGAGGTTTGGAAGGATCTCTCTATAGTCTGATTACCAAATACAGACAAGGCATAGTTAACAAAGTTGTGAAAGCTATTGACACACTGGATTTCTACTCTTTCCCTAATGTAAGATTCTATTTTCATAAGTGCACATCTGCATGCAGGTGAACAACAAAAGGGTCAACAATGATATTTTGTCTACTTAGATTACCAAATTGCATCTTACTTGAATCCTCAAGATTGAACCCAAAGCATACAGAGAGGGTCTGAAAGATTCAGAAGGCAAAAGGCTCCTACATTTCCCAATGGCACATCTAAAATGTGGAGATCTATCTTAATGTGAGTTTGTGAATAACAGGATTTTTAATACCTTGTGCCTCAATGGGCCTATCAAAATGAGTTAGATAGAAAACAAATGCCATGCTTATCCAGAACTTTATCATTGTGGTGATCAGTTTTCCCAGTCTGTACCATACAACCCTTACTTAAGACCTAGGAGAATCTAGATGGTCCAATAGCCTTAATAATATAAAGAGTCTTGCCTCACTGCTTTTCAGGCTTTTTTTTTTTTTTTTTTTTTTTTTTTTTTTTTCCTCTAGGAGCTCCACAGAGAACATCTGTCTCTAGGACTATAAATTTGGTACTTTTTACCAGCTCTAAATTTTCTCTATTGCTTAAGAGTATTAGAGATCACAGCTTACTCCCATCATTTAGGGACTAACAATGTGGAAAATTGAGTGAACTCAATATGATCACCACTCAAGAGTTCTCCCTGTGAACCAAAGTCTTCTTTAAATTTTGAAATAACTTCCAAACAAGAAGGCAGAAAGGAAAAGTGTGTGTGAGAAAACATGTGTTTTTTGTTTGTTTGTTTGTTTGGTTGGTTTGTTTTTGTTTGTTTGTTTCTGCTTTTCCTTGGCACAAAATGGAAGTGTAGTTTCCTCTGTCATGACAGGAAGCAGGATCCATTTTTCATGTTATTTCAGGGAGTTCTGTTTTAAGAGTCAATAAAAACTGAATCCTTGTTGCTGGAAGAGAAAATGGAAGAAAAAATGGAAGAGAACTAATGCCCTAATATATCAAATAGGGATTTCTAAGTTGTACCAACAAAATAATTTGGTGCATGTACAAATGAGGATTCATATGTACAAAATTCAAATTTTGTATTTGTAAATGAGATAATTACACAATCAAATAGGTACCTTTGATTAAAATCATTGTATATGCAAATTCATCACTTGCTAAAGCAGTCATATTTTGGCATGTGCATACATAATTAGTGGTTTCTAATTTAAGGTAATTTTATGTCAGAACTAGTCTTACCTATTGGATCTCATGTTTTACATATTAGCCAAAAAATACTTTTTTCAGTTTAAAAATTTTCAGTAATCATATTACTGTCATTTTATGGATGAAATCTCTCTCCTTATATCAATAACATTGTAACATATCTGAAAAGTAGATGGATTTAAAAATCAATTAATGGGGCGCCTGGGTGGCTCAGTCGGTTGAGCAACTGACTTTGGCTCAGGTCATGATCTCGCGGTTTGTGAGTTCGAGCCCCGCGTTGGGCTCTGTGCTGACAGCTCAGAGCCTGGACCCTGCTTCTGATTCTGTGTCTCCTCTCTCTGCCCCGCCCCCACTCATGCTCTGTCTCTCTGTCTCAGAAATAAATAAACATAATTTTTTTAATATTAAAAAAATAAATAAAATAAATAAATAAATCAATTAGTTATTTAATGTAGTCTTTTATTTGTCCTTAAAGTAACCCTTAACTTAATGGTACCTCTGACATCTTATTTTCAAGATATTTTGATAAATATCATCTTGCAATCAATAGTATCTTATTACAAATGTCATTGTGTTATCAAAAAGAATAACACACATTTATATTTTCATATTATATATCAGGCACCTATCCTTCACAACTAGTCTGTAAGGCAAATTTACCATGTTTTATAGATGAGGAAAGTGAGGCATAGATGACTCTCCCCAGGGCACACAGTAACTGCATGGCAAGGCAAGAAACTCAGCTCTTGGTAAGACTGTGGCTATGACCCTTACTAGATGCTCTATTGACCTTCCTTGAGTCTCTCCTTTGAGGCAGCTGTGATGATCCAGGAAGCTGTAATGAGACCCTACAGGAATTAGTTAATCTCTTGCTTCTCTCCTTTACCCATCATCTTCTTGTACCCATGCAAACTCAAAGCCTTTCCTCTTTTCTTTCCTTTCACCCTCTTGCTTATATTTAAATCTGTCCTCTGAAGACTCTAGGACAGTATCAGACTGGTTACAGAGCCTGGGGAAATTTGGTACAAAATCTTCCTTGACTGGTAGTGGGCTAGTGCTTCAGGGGGCCCAGGGATTTGTTCTCCTATGCCTTTTGATAACCATATTAAAAGCAAAACTCTAAGCATCTGTATGTAAACCTAATTCTGCTTGATTTTTGCTCAAATCCGCCCCCCCCCAAAAGTCTCCTTAATCTTATTCAAAAGGAAAGCCAAATTCTTACAGTGGCTTTCAAGGTTACCCATGATCTGACTTCCTCTTTCACCTGGTGGTCTGTAATCAGATTTCACCCTCCCTCTGTAATCTGGCTTCCTTTCTCTCCCTGGAATTTGCTAAGCAATCTCAGGCCTGAGGTCTTTTGAACTTTCTTTCTCTGTTCAGAATGCTTTTCCAGTACTATAGCCTGTGGCTTCCCCTTGGGACCCTCAAGTTTCTGTTCGAATGTGAATTTATCACACTGCTCTTTCTCCCACCTCTGCTTCTTTTTATCCCACTTAATTTATCTTCTTTTGCCTCCAGGGCACTTATTCGCCATGCTTATTATAAATTTTTTTTTTCAACGTTTATTTATTTTTGGGACAGAGAGAGACAGCATGAACGGGCGAGGGGCAGAGAGAGAGGGAGACACAGAATTGGAAACAGGCTCGAGGCTCTGAGCCATCAGCCCATAGCCTGATGCGGGGCTCGAACTCACGGACCGCGAGATCGTGACCTGGCTGAAGTCGGATACTTAACCGACTGCGCCACCCAGGCGCCCCTCGCCATGCTTATTATAAATGTGTTTATTCGTCCAGCCTTTCCAACTATAATCTATATAAGCCATAAGAAGGCAGTGACTTTGAATGGGATGTTCCTGCTATATCCCCAAAAGAGTAAATGTTCAGTAACTAACTAGCAGCAATGAATGAAACAATCAAATGAAGGATGCACACAAGTAAATGAATATTCCAGATTTCTTATCCAAAGATTCCTTACTTAGCTGTTATTAGAATGATTACATGTTAGTATAACACAAATTATTTCTTTACAACATTAATACCCATAAAGTTATATTAAAGAGTTTGTCAATGGTTACTAAATGTAATTTTACATGAGACAAACAAAAGGAGGTAGAAACAAAAGTTATTACAATTGAAGAAAAATTATTAGAAACTGTAATCAGAGTTTTATTATTTTGGGAAACTGAATAAAAGCAATTGCTACCATTATACTTACTATGTATCATCCCTATTTTGCATGCTTTACATGTATTATATAATTTAATCTTCACAAAACTTGTAATGGAAGAACTATTATATACACTTCATAAGTGAGAAAACAAAGGCATAAAATGTTGAAGTTACTTGCCTGAAGTCATTGAGAATCCTATGGAATCACATTACAAACTTTACATGTATATATATTTTTTATACACTGTGATTTATTGTTCAATACTAACTCTCCATAATGATCTTGATTAAGGCTCCTACTTTGAAATATTTTTCCCCAATAATGGAAATATTATTGCATTCCTTTATACTCATTATCTCAGAAAGCATGTTTTTAAATTATTATTTCTGATTATCTCAGAGATTAACTTGGAGAAATGAAGAAATGAATTAGTATGTACATGCTACACAACTTCTTGGCCTAATACTTATAATTACAGGAATAAAAACATTTCATTTTTTTCCCTCTTATGGCAGTTTTATCCTGGCATATTTAAGCCTTTCCTGATAAAATGCACTTTTTTGAATCATGTTTCTTTATATACCTATAAATGAGAACAAGCCTGAGATTGAAAACTAGTTTTGCAATGAAGCTTTGGAATCCTTTATTATCACTTTATTACCTAATTGATGCTTAAAACTAAGATAGCTATACATCCTAGTTTATCTGAAAAGTCCCAATTCATGTCTGTTTTCCCAGAATTATTATTAATGTATATAGATAATTATTAATAATAACATGTACTTTCAGTTTCAAAATAATCTCAAAGTTGTCCAGCATAGACAATAAATTTTATTTTCAACTATTTAAAACAGATATGTAATATCTTCAGAAATTTTTTACAGTGGGTAAAAAAGGAGGAAAGATTAACTCTCCTTAATAATTTTATTTTAATTTCAAAGGAATTATTTAATTAAAATCTAGAGGAAAAAATAATACATGCTCATCAAAATGAGACATACTAGATCTGGACTATTCTCCCAATTGCTTAGTGGACATTGCCTCAACAAATATGATAATCCAACTTGAATTATTAAAAGAATCAATCTTTAAAAGGATAAAACATTTACTTCATCATTCTAGGTCTTTACTAGATTTCATAAAAACACGTACTGACAGCATTAGAACAGTGGAGGCTGAAAAATCATGTTCCATTTACTGTTCCCCCAAACTCATTCAAATGTAAGCCTCATCTTTTGCCATGCTGGCTAGTACAAAGAAAAGAACAAATTCCCAATCATCCTTCACACCTGCATTCACACCCAAAGTCGTCTGTGCCTCTTGGGTTGAACAACTGCACAGACAGAATGTCTTCTGTGAGTTCTCAGTTTAGCTCTATTGAGACACACATTCCTGGAAGCCCCAACCTGTATATTTTACGTGAAGATGTTTTCTTTTCTCCTTTAGATAAAGGAAATCTTAGGAGCCAGAGGCAGCTTCTAAGTGTCTTATTATTTCAAAATATTCCTAAGAGCCAACTGTTCACCAAGCTTCAGACCTATAACCTACTTCTGCCTTTGTGGGTTTTTTTTAGGTTTTGGTTTATTTTGTTTTATTTTTGCATTCAGAGGAGATAATTAAGAAATTAACACAGGGGTGCCTGGGTGGCTCAGTTGGTTAAGTATCCAACTTCAGCTTAGGTCATGATCTCACAGTTTGTGGGTTCAATTCTTGCATCGGGTTCTGTGCTGACAGCTCAGAGCCAGGAACCTGCTTCAGATTCTGTGTCTCTCTCTCTACCCCTCCCCAACTCACACTATGTCTCTCTCTCTCTCTCTCTCAAAAATAAATAAACATTAAAAAAAGAAATTAACACGGAAATGTTAATCATAATATTTGTGTGATTTTTTTTGCATATAAAAGTTTCAATTTTCTGGAAATCAGGCAAGATTTATTTCTTTTTCTAATGCTTTGCTATTTCAAATGCATTTTACTCCAGTTCATTCCCCTCCTCTTCCCCATATTCTTACTATAACCACTGCTGTGAAATGTTTGTTAGTCTTTAGTGTGGTTAACAGCATTTTCAGAGGACTGAATTATCTCAGAGAATCTCACCACCACCCGCTGTGAAGCCTCCAGTAAGGCTGTTGCAACCACCATTCTTTTTCCTCACATATACCTTCACTCCTTAGTCTGTTTTATTTGCCAGAGTCTTCTCTTCTAAAATATATTGTTAGATCTGCCAGGGAGATTTGGAGTCTTTGCCTCTTTGGTTCAAAATGAGGCAGATTAGCAGGTCAATAGCCCTAGGTGATAAATCCCCATGTGGTGCCTGAACCTCTAAGTTGCTTGCCAGAGGCTCACAGATTTCATAGTAGTCATTTAGACAGGATTAGAGAAAT